CCACAACAGTCTCGAAATACTGTAGGCAACAAGTATTGTCCGTTGTTATAATAATTACGATAAATTCGACGATCAACCGATAGAAAGAAAGTAATTTTAAAAGGGAATTAAAATTGAGTTTATTTATTCCGTGGATAAGAACAATTCCGTGGAATATAAGTATAACAATAATATCAGAACAACATCTTAACATTTAACATTCAACATTCAACATGAGAGCTAGACGATGGGATAATAGTCGCTTATATAACGCGCCAAACACCAATTTTGCGTCATGAAATATTACTAAAATTGGGTCCTTTTCATTGCGACTAATTTGTACTCCCTAAAAATTAAGTCGATCATGGGTTGCGGACTGCGGACTGCAGGCTGCGGAGCACGGAGGAAAATTTTATCACATGACTTGCTGCGGCCAATTCATCGGTGCGGCTTGTCCGTAACACCTCTTGTTGTGTCTTAGATGTTAATACACGTAATATATCTTTAGAGTGAGTTATCACAACTGAACGACGTGCTCTTCCTGTAGTCAAATTTTTCTGTATGAATAATCTCCTGATTGTAAAAGTCTTGTAGACAGTCTATTCCATCCTCATAGCTTTCAAAGATTTTATCATAACCAGTTGGAGTAAGTTGGGTACATTTTCTAAACAGGCTATGTTCTTCTGGGGATTGAGAATCGAATGCTTCTAACATTTTTTGTGTGAGCCGCTCAACAGTTGCAGACCGATTATTAACTGCATGTGCACTTTCTGTGGGGACGTGGTTATCATTAAATATAGAGAACAATAGGTCTGTCCTTGTTGAACAGCTTTTATTTGCTGCTTAAGATCGTTCTCATCAATAATCCTGTTTTTCAAGTTTTGCTTTACAAACTTGACTCCGAAAAACTCCAGTGCCTCATCGAAAGCTAAATAATGGCCTTCTTGTGTGATGTTTACAGAGCAGGCATGTTGTAAAAACTCCTGGAGCTGAGGATAACGTTCATACTCAGCAAGAAAATGAGTGACTGATTTGAAGTAATTGACTCTTCCAGTGCACGGAAATAGAGGAGCAAAAGCGGCTAAGTTGGCAAATTGCATTTCAGAATTTCCCCTTCGAATCCCTATTTTGTGTCCTTTCCAAAAGCTGATCCATTTGAAAAATAAAGCCCACGCTTTAGCCAAATTATTATCTCCTTGCATTAATTGTTCCAGTGTCAGTCCCTTTTGCTTGAAATAATTACGGAGCGTTATACCCGTAGATGCCCATAGTAGGAACGCCGCCGTTGAGATCTCTCCGGAGATGCCCTACCGATGGACATTGTAGGCAAGTAGCGGGGGAGCCAGACCATGATAGAAGGACCTTCTGGTCCTCGACTTCGATAATTAGAGTACTGAAAACGTCATTTCCTCATTTCCATCATCATATCTTAATAAATTTTCTGTTTCCTTCCGCTGTACGCCAATAGCTCCTCTTTTGTACAAAGAAGACCTGCACTTTCGTACTCCGCGTCAAATTCTTGTACAAAATTATCAAAGAAGTAGTTTCTGTCTTCTTTGGGGGTACTCTGAAAGGAATGCCGAAAGCTCCATGCCAGCAATAGATAAGATTTGACTATTCGGTCTTTATTTCCACCGAATAGACGATGTGCAACGCCAAGTTTGTTTTTTGTCCGATAAAAAAAAAATAAAAAAAAAAAACCAATAACGGGTGGGTGGTTTATTTAGTAGTCTTGTTGGAAATTTGGATGGCAGTGAGATATATTATGCTCGGAGCAAAGCGAAGGGCTATGAAAAATTTTCGGTCACACGTATTTCTCTATCCGGCACATGATCTCGACCAATGATTGTGATTGATGATGCATAGCTATGCATGCCTATACAATACTAATACGCGGTGATAGAACCAGTCATATGGGTCTCTCACGATAGAGTGGATTCACGTCAACCAAAATCCAAAGTCGCAAATTTATTCAGAAATCAGATATGTATTCATTATGTATTTTATTGCTACTGGCGAACGATCTTTTAGATATAGGCAATCTATAAAGATTTAATATGCGGATTACGACCAAATCGATGCCTGATTCCCAGAGGCTTTACTGGGATGTTCGCAAGCTTATTGCAAGGTGAATAATTCTGGTGACGACGCGCGGATTGCCTAAACCGAGAAAGGCGATGATTTAAATCAGCTGCAAAAGACGCCGTATAAATTGACTTCACTATAACCAATTGTTGTCTTCATACCTAGTGACTCAAACGTTTTTTGAACCCTTGTCCTGCTTATTTTTGAAATTCAGTAACTTGTAAAACTTGCGGTTTAGTTATTAAAATAGAATATTTGCATCTTGATCAGATATCTAAAAATGCGATTTTCCGGTTAAATCATGAATGCTATTGATGTTCACATGCTGTTGTAATATTAATATTCACTTTCTAATAAACAAATTCTTTATTCCTAAAATGCAGTACGTTTACTGGTTCTTCTCTGATAACTATCGGTATAGTTTTATGAACCATTAATCTCCATGTCGATTAGAAATACCAATGCATTTTAGAAAAATATAAGTATTGTATACTAATACCTCAACATTTTTAATTCCATACACGTAATTAACTAAAACGAGCGGCGGATAACCATCTTGGATTAATGTCTATACGTAGGTCGTGAGTCATTAATTTGCTAAAGTAGGAAAAGCCACAATTTGCGACAAAAACATTTAGAAAATAATGACTGTTGGAAATATATAGTGATGATAATTAAAAACAAAAATAGCAAAACGCGCGCTTGCCTATGAAATTCTTATATTAAAACTGATTTACTTACAAATTGGTTATCTAAAAAACAAACTTTTTACTGTCGGTCTTTTTTCTTTTCGCGTTTAGAACGCCGTTCGCATAACATTTAAAGCTCCACGTCAAATTACGTGTTATTTCACATTTCTGACACAACAATAGTACTAAATAAAAAAAGAGAGAGAAACGAGCATTTCTCTTTATCCCATTGAAAATAATTGAGAAATTAGTCGTGTTGAGCGTAAGCGTGCTAATGATATGTTATCGTATTCAAATTCACGTTCAATATCGGAATTCGACTCTTACGCACGACACGACACCTGGCAGAGTATTCTACTTATCTGTTAAATTCAATTGTTGAAAGAAAGTATGGTTATTTATAAGGGAAGTCAATCAACGATTTAATCAATAATCGTCTAGCGTAGCTTGTGCTTCTTCTTTTCAATATTTTTGTGAATAGTAAGCCTTTAAATCCTTCCGTTGAAGATGCGCTAATTCCGAAATCATATATTTTATCACATTATTGAGTCCTTCATTCAAACTTTTTCTTCTGATAGAACTGGGCATATAGTACCTCTTGGTTAGCATCCGTTATAGGCTTCATCGAGAGATTACTAACTAAATCCGGTATATCAAGACAACATTTATTAGCTCCATGAAAATCTCTGTACCAAGCGATATCCGTTATACGTCTCTAACAGTAAACCGTAGTAGACAATAAAGTTTTATATTATTATAGTAAATTCGGAGAATGTTCCGGCCTATCAACAATTGACTCCGATGCGATTGTGTTCGTATAATAATACAAATAAAAACTACACCGAGGCAACGTGATCGAACTTTCCTTACACAGAACTGGGCACAGAAATAAATGACTGCTGTGCATCCAGACTTTGGCAGTTTGACATATTCTCTACTCGCTTTGTTATGGAACAAAAGCTAATTGAACTTACTTCCTTATCTAAGAAGGCCCTGTCTTTTGGCGAGACTTTGTGCTCCAAGGCTGACGCTCTTATAAAAGACTGCAAAACCGATATAGACAATGTGGAAATAATATATCCCAAACTGCGTTTTCTTTGGTATGAACTTCAAGTTCAGGCAAAGGTGCGTTGACTGAAAAGCAAACCGCTACCGGTAAATGATTCTTTTTATACACACCTTTCTCTCTAACTTATTTTCCTCTTCCAGTCACTTGACAGGTTGAAAGAATTTGCAATAAATCAAACCAATAGTTTGAAGCTGTATAATTCTGTAGGTAAATATTACAACGCTCGCTGTGGTACCTTTTAAGTTACGAGCATGCTAAACCCTCCCCCCTCCTCTCCCTTAATCCTGCATAGAACAAGGAGAAGCAATTGGCTGCTATTTACGAAGAGCTTGACAAGGTCTTAAATAGTCTACGCAATAAAATTGTAAATCCCGCGATACGAAAGAGCGCGTTAACATTGGATGACGAATTGGTGGACAATCCAGACGCTACGACAAAGGGAATAGATGGCGAGCGAACTGAGCGTGAAGAGAATGATAAGGTGTCTTTATATGATTACATTGATGAGATTAGCATGCAAGAGCTGAAGCATAAAACGCAAGAAGAGGTTGCGAATATACAAGTAAGCCAATAACTTTTACGATCTTTCTAAAATGAGAATATGATATCGACATCGTGCAGTCTCGTATTATCGTGATTGAATATTGACTTTTTAACTTTTATTTAACACAACAAAGCAATTCCAATCAGTCAGCTCCAATATTGTCAGTCAAATTAGCGCCCATATTAGCCACTTTCGCACACTTTTCAATAACTGTCCGATCGATCTTGAAGAGTCGAGTATTGCATTCATTCAAGAAAAATCGTCCATACATGAACAAGAAACCAAGGTTATGGCTGAGAGTTTACTTTCTTTAGCTAGACACGATGAACAAGTCAGCGCAGCATTAAAGTAAGTAGTACATATTTTTTATATTAGTTTGATTTGACAATAATGGAAAGTGTGCTGAGGGGGTTGTAAGTACGAGGTTAGCTTATTTCTTTGGGTTGATTGCGTAGATCTTGTCAATCAAATGCTGAGATGAGTTTACATTTAGACATATCTGGTATGCTTGATTCATGTTTTTTCGGTGACATGCTGTCTCATTTCACAAAGATATTGACTATGAAATTTTGTGGGTTAGTTCTTGAGAAGGATACGCGAGAACTGCCAACGGTGATTGAGGAACTGAAGGAATCACTTCAAATTATAAAGTCAACGAGGTCAGTTGAAATATAGAGTTTTTATTTACCAGTTTTTGACATGGTACCAGGCATAATAAATAGTTTTGTAACAGCATCAATTTTGTGTATATTTGGCATTTTTGGCATCCTTGTCGGGGGCAAACTTTTTTGCTTTACTTAATCTTTCTTTTTTTCTTTTTTTTTGATTGCAATTAGTGAGGAGATAAGTGTGCGGAGTCAGGTGTATAATGCATCATATAATGAAACTGTTAAACTATTTGACGAACTGGATGCATTTGGAAATAAAATGGAAGAAATTGTCGCTGCGATTAAAGCCAATGAGGTTGGTTTTAATATATACGTTTGACTTTCGTGTAATATTGAATGTTATTTAACATTAACTTAAACATATATGACTATATTATCACTTTTCAGGCTGACTTTGAGAAAGGACGCATTATTGTTGACCGCTTTATAGACGAACTCTGGAATCTTATTGGATGGTATGTGAGTTAAATTTGATCTGGTCTTTACATAGCTAGTGTTTCATAGCTAAATTTTTTACGGATTTGAATAGGTATGAGGAGTTCTCGAAATCCTACGATTACTTAATTATCGAGATTGATCGGCGTCATCGCGTGGTAGAGCAGCATAGTAAATTGGCGGATGAGTTCTACGCCAAGTTGGAAAGTCTCTATCTGGGTAAGTTTACTTTGAAGAGTTTGCACTCATGCAAAATTAGCAAATAGGACGATGCTAACCGTCTAACTTGACACTATATTAGAGGAAACACAGCAGAGGAATTTATTCTTTCAGATGCATGGACAATACATACCAATGGATTTATGTCCTCCAATCCAAGTATGATAAAGTGATGTTGTTAGATCATCATAGAGTCTTTTCTGCGCAATAACGATAAAACTCTGAAATTCTATTCTCTCAGGAGCAGCCAATAAGATACGAGATCATTCCTCAAACAACCACAAGATTACCTATAATTCCACCAAAGGCATTGACTGAGGCAAGTTAACGACAAAGTATTGGATGCTGTCGCAAGTGTAGGCAGACAGCTACTACAGTTATTGATGTGAAAAAGACTGATTGTTCTGATAATCATTTCAACAGGCTCAGGCTAATGTAGACAGATATAGATCGAGCGCACAGTAGGCTAATGCGTAGGAAGCCTCTGGTAGGGTTTGTTTTCCTGAAACAATCGGTCATGCCGTGTTGCTTTCAATTGCCGCGTTCGGTTATTTATGGGCTTTTGCGTCACTAATTATAAAAGCTACAAAATTTTTTTTGTATTCGTTCAGAGAACAATTCGCACATTATGATGACGCTTCTTATAATCGATTTTCCAATATTATGTTGACCAAGGTAATATTTTTTGAACAATTCAAATGCCACATTTGTTATTTAATAAGTAGTTCTTTATATTTTACATGCTGTTGTTGACATACATTGATACACATTCTATGTCTATAAAAGTATTGCGAATATTATTCAGTAGACTGAAAGTCTTTGAACGTTTATTCTTTAGGGTGCGCTCCTCCCCAGCCAATTGCAGATTGCATGGCCGGCCATAACGAATAATAACACAAAGGTTATGTTGTTATTATTCCATAGTGCTTCCTTGATAAATAAATATATTGTCATTGTCATCTAACCTTAAATTATCGTAAATCGGCAATTCGTAAGTCTAGGTTTTTGTTAATAACATGTCCATTTTTAGATATGTCCTAAAAATAAAAAGCAGAATGTAAGCGACTGTGCTATAAAGAGTATTACATCGAGAAGATTTATATTAGCAATCGTTAAATACCACAAAAAGTTCATCTTCTGTATGCGGATGGAATCCTCTCTTTGTACATTTGATTACGACTTGAAGTCCAGGTGGATTAGAAAGACGGAAAATACGGATGCTAGAAAAATCAACTGTATTTAGGATTTGTTCGCAAGCACAAGCAGAGTATTCGAACGTCAAATGACAACATACTCGTTGTATTTTGGTGCACAGACAATAGCAATGGCTTCTGGAATTCCCCATTGATAGGATGAGTGAGTATGCAAATCTATCGAACTCATAAAGCATGTTTGGGTAGGATGGGTCTAAACGAGTAGAAATAATAATTTGTGAATTACTTGGTATTAAAACGTTGATGATTATTTGTAACTTACATGTATCCATCCTAATGTCAGTTCATTCGGATTCACACATTCAAGGAGTTCTTCTTCGTTTATCATGTTGCAACTGTCTGAAGTAGCAGTTTGCTTGGGAATTATTAAAGACGTGATACAGAATGAGTTGTGCGACTGGAAATAATAAAATGTTCTGTCAGTATGATCGAAAGTTTGAAAGGCTGATAGATTGAACAATTATAGTAGTGAGTTTTGTACCAAAGTCCCTACTAAAATACCAAGAGTTTCCAAATTATTTTTTGTGTTTTGTGCGGCAATTTTTAGGAACTCTCTGGTCAACTTTGATGGCAAATATATTGTTCGTAGACCTTCTCCGCCTTCCGTATATGCCTTGTAATCTACCTCTGCAATATAGACATTATGCGTGAGCACAATCCAAAGTTGTGAAAACAAACATTCCACTTGAATCGAACGGCTTTTTCTCGTACCTTCTACATAGCCGTCCTCTATCGTTTTATCTGCTTGAATCTCTGGTTTAACTTGGGGCGCAGAAATTGCATCCTTATTGTCTATTGCGTAGTTTTCCAACTTTGGTGGTTTCGGTGGTCCATGAGGCACTTTTGGCGGCAGCCGTGGAACAAAAGTGTCCGCTTTTGCCGCGTCTTCAGTATCGTGCGGCAGCTTTGGTGGAATAGCAGGTGGTGACTTTGGCTGTGGTGGAGCAACTAACCCTGGTGGCACTGGTGGCAGTGCTGGTGGCGTAAAAGGTGAAGGTCGATTGCTAAGACCAGCATATGAATACCTACCCATGAAGTGGTATTGGTGGGTTGAGCCCGATACGAAAGAATAGGGAAAAAAATGAATGGTAACAGACTGAACTGCCTACCCGTCACTTTCGTTCTTTAATGATATAGTCGGATACTCTATTCTCTGAACAGATCGGCAAAAATAGTAAGTCAAACAGTATGTATAACAAATCGTTGATTCGCGCATGCTTACCGTAGTAGGTTCTGGCATATTTAGTTTTGGGGATCTAAATTATATCACATTGAAAAGACCAGTTATGGAGAAAAACCACACATTTATATAACGTAAATTGCAAACAAAACGCGCAAAGGATACAAATTCTTCGAACTGTATTCATTGTAACTTTCTTTTTCAGTCCGCAGTCTATTCATTTGATTTACCAAAGACCATTCTTCCACTTTTCTAGCAGACATTTGATCTGCTTGCTGGGTATGATCTAATATTCTTGCTTCCTTTTGCCTCCTTGCACGTTCTTCTGCTTCCTTCCGGTGTGCTCTTTTTGTCGCTTCCAGTTCTGCTCTCATCTGCTCTTCACGCATCTGTTCAAGCTTAGGCTTGAGAACCTCCATTTCTGTAAGTACCTTATCCGCTTGCTAGAATTAATAGGAAGTAAGCGCTTCTGGTTGACCGTTTGTAATATTGCCATTGCAAAGTCGTCACAAATAACATAGTTTACCCTCTTCAAATCGGCTACCATTTTTTTGCTCTCCGGTTTATGATACTCTGGGTGTGCTGGCAGCTTGTCAAGAGTGATTCTAGTATCATTAATATCTGCAAGATCAATATTCGAGCTCTCCGAAATGCTTAAAGACCAACTGAATTGAATTCTTACACGGCAAATTTCATATAAAATTTGTATGCGTTAAGAACATCTTGCTCAAGTTTGTACTGTTCCGCCTGTACGAGCAGTAAGCCTGTTAAGTAGTGAATTCCACAGAATTACAAAATCGCTATAATTTACCTGGCGGAGAACATTGGCTATTGTCCGCAAGTAGATCCTGAGTGCAATGTGCGTGTGCAATTCAAGCTTTGAGGCTTCTGCTGAGATCTCTTTTATGGTGGGTATTCTTTTGGGGAGCGAAGCCGCAGACATTTTGTAAAAACGTTATAACAAGTTTAATGGAGAGAATCCGCTTATTATTATTGTCATTGGAAATCTTGGGCAATGGAAGGTATGTTACACAGGTATCACATTGCAAACGCGTCCTAAAAAAGTACGCGAGGTAAGGTTATTCCTCAGCTGTACTGGTAACCAAACTTTGAATTTAAACTGGACACTATGGAAGAGTTTGTCTTGAGCGAGGAGCTTGTAAAACTTCAGGAGGAAAATTATTATCTCAAGACTCTTGCCAATCTAAGAGAAGCCGACTTGATACAAATCAATAGGGAACTACAGAGTAAGTGCTTTGTTAGATTAGATTCCAAACAGAATTTGATAATTAACAAGTTGTTTCAAAAACATAGGCTGTCTTGAAAAGGTAGAAGAAGACCCGCAAAACATATTCAACGCTCAGTTATTTGCACGCTTGAAGAACAGTACAAAGTATGTATGAGCAAGCCTTTTGGCGATAATCAATGGGAGATCAATATATCTGTTAATTACATTAGCATTTCATTAGAAAATTCAGCACTCTGCAATCGCCGCAAATATCTCAACTTATTAATATAATAATCACAGGTAAGCGAGTGATTTTGTTGGTATTGAGTCTTTATATAGCACAATAATTGACATGACGTTACGTTAAACTTTAAACAAAGGCCTTGCAACCGAATGTGAGAATACCTCAGGCGACTTTCAAGCCAATGATGATCAGACTTTTGATAGTCACCGACGAGCACTCAATATGTGGAGCTTTTTACTCGGGTGGGCTACATATTTAGCGGAAAACAAAGCACAGTCAAAGCAAAATCAGAAAGAGAATGAAGAATTCGCGAGCAGATCAGGCCGAGTATGCGGACAATATTTCGAGAACGAGCGCTTCTTTAGTTTTGCTACATGCATTAATACGAAATGATTATTGTTTCATAGCGCGGAAAAGAGCGAAACAGGGAATCGAGTCAATGGAATTGGGATGAACAAAGAAAGGCTACCTTGACTGTGATGGTAAACGTATTGAAACTGAATCTTGAAAGTATATGGGTTATCAAACAGGAACTGGAGACTTTTGTTGGGTATGGTCACTCGCGTTGATAAGAAACGGTATTTGACAACTATAACACTTGTTAACAAAAATTCTGCTATATCTAGAATATTTACAAAGACAGTTTTCCTAATATTGGAAAGTCCGCCAAATATTAAAGATCAATCAACCAAAATGCTGTTGTTTGAAATTCTAGCCATATCGACGAAAAATCATAAGCAAAATTTTGGTAAGCTGTTTGTATTGTTGCCTGGTCGACTGCATCAACAACTTTTATTAAAGATTGACAATAGCTGACTTTATTTTTTCTAGCAATAAAAACTTCCATTCTCCAGCATCTTCGTTATTACGAACATATGCCGGAACCAACGGCCGAGCTACTCGGGTATTTACATAGTGAATACACGTACACACAATTAACTGACGATATATTAATGTATGTGCGCCAAACAGTCATACATCACAAGAAATGAAGCCTATAAATTAACATGCGTTTCTTCCGCTTGTTAGGGAAATTGGTGATGCTGATCTATCCGTTCAAGACAAGACTGGTCCAAAGCAGTTTTCTAAATTCTTGGTGAGATTGTCAGAAGTAGCAGCTAATCTTGTACTGAGGCAGTTAGTACATGTAATGAAGCATATGGACAGTCCGGTAGAGTATAGCATGATAAAGAAATATTGACATTAACACATCAACTTACCCGAGATATTATCCAATAGGTTGGACCGATGCGTGTAGCTGTTATTGAGATTACTGGAAATCTTATCGAGCATCTGGCAAATAAAGATGAACAGACAGAATCAGATAAAGAGACTTTGAATAACCTTTTTAATATATTAAAACAGCGTTCTCTGGATCTCAATGGATTTGTGAGATCAAAAGTGATGCAGGCCTGCATTAAATTATGCGAGTATGTCTTGTTAGATATATTAGTTGATGTCTTTGTTGTTTGAAAGCTTTCCAATCTCTAATTTATAATTGTTCTACACTAGCATAAAGGCGAAGTTTCCCAAAACGAGGCAGCATCTGGTAGATCGGGCAATCCAATGTCTGAAAGACAAGAGCGTAAATGTGCGCAAATACGCTATACAAGCACTGGCAAAATTTATCAGAACTCATCCATTCGGCATGGTTTATGGTGGGGAACTTCGATCGCAACCATGGAAGGACGGCTTAGCGAAAATCAATGAGGATTCTGAGGTACACGTTCTTCTAAGCAAGTTGTAATCGTTGTAATTTTAAAGTTGGAATTTAGTTAAACAAATTTCGAAATATCAGTCTATAGAACCCCCCGAGGAGCTTTCTCATATTACACAAGAGTCTCCAAACTCGCCTTCTCCGTCTCTATTCGCTGATGCCCAATCATCCCGTCCCTCATCGCCATCACCATTATCTTCCAACATTTCTCCAGAGTACTACACAAAACTCAACTTGACCAAAAGATATTATGCCGATGCCTTGCGTTTCATTGAATCGCTTTCAACGGCCATACCAACTTTGCTTCAGTTATTGGACTCGATCAATAAATCTGAAGTTATTGAGACTATGGAGTTTTTTGTTGCGGCATACCAGTACAAGTTGGATCGCGCCGAAGAGGGGTTGACAAAAATGCTACATCTGATATGGTCACGAGAGACAGACGAAGGAAAGAGTGTAAAGAAGAAGTTGATAGAATGTTATCAAAATGTTTATATATCAACTGAAGAAGGCGCTACCAAGATGGAGAGTGTTGAGCAAACAGTTCGGAATTTTGTTAGGTGAGTATTATCTGAACGAGCGAAACTAAGAATAAGCATAGAGATAGTCAAGAGGACTTACGCGAACGATTACCTTGCCAGATTGGCCGATACAACATCTGTTGCAAAATTGACTTCCCTCGAAGAGCTCTTTAGCACAATGATGTCAACAAGACTTATATCACCCGAAGTAATAGAAAGACTCTGGACCGTTTATGGTACGGACTAGTATTATGATTTAGTTCAATCAAATGTTTTATCCAGAATGCCGATTTAACTATCAACATAAAAGCTGCATCAAATTCTCAAACTAGTGCAAAAGAACGTCGAGGGGCTATAATGGTGCTTGCGAGTTTGGCGAAAGCAAAGAAGGAGATCATCTCTGAAAAACTAAATGTATTGCGTAATATTGGACTTAGTTCTCCTGGGAGGGTAATTACGCTTCCTTCATAAGCGCTTCATACACTATTATTTTATTTTTCTTGACTGCTTTTCCTTTCTGTTGACGTTATAGCAAGATCTCGTGTTGGCAAGATACACATGCATTGCATTGCAGCGTCTTGCAGGAGAAGCCAAAATCAAAGGCAAGAGTCCATTTTAGTCAAGTAATGAATAAAGTTAAAAGTATATGCGCACGCGCTGACCAAATTTATCAATAGGCTCACCACGGGATGAATCCACAAGATTACCATTATCACATCCGATATTTGAAGATCTCCGCAATATACTTGAGATACAAACAGACTCCAATCAATGGTACTGATACAGATAACTATTACCAAACTCTGAAATTTCTACTCTATTTAACTTGTCCGTAATCCTACAGGTATCCTCTCGCTGAACAAGTGATAAACGCCATTTACGTCCTATGTAATAATCCAGATATTTTATGTGGAGAAATCATCAAACAAAAGACAATTTTTGTCTTTAAACTAGATGACGACAGTTTCAGGGATGAGCTGAGTACAAGTGAACCTGTCACGGTTAATACGACACAATTGAGCCAGTTACTGTTTATTGTTGGACATGTCACTCTCAAACAACTTGTGCATCTCGAAACCATTGAAGCTGAATGGAAAAGACGGAAACAGTCGGGCGAAGCAAAAGGTAGCGATTACCGGTTTCAAATCTGGATAACGAACGTTGTGGCATTGATCGCCTATTATCCTGATATAATTTACTTGCAATTGAAGTAACAATACTAATGAAAGTCTATTTATTGTATAGATAAAAACCATGTTGAAGACGAACTGGATCAAATTGTTGGAACAACAGAAGATGAGTTTAGTGAATTGATAACACAGATACGGGAATATGAGCTTTTGTATGGGAGCAATTCGTTATTGGCCGAATTCGGAGGATTAGTGGCCAAAATCTGTGCCAACAGAAAGATCTTTAATGTAAGTCATAAAAGAATTCGCTAGGTATGAATTAACGTCGGGTTGCTTTAGTTCGCGTTAGTCTAAGTTTTCTGTTTGTCAAATTAGGACAAGATGTTGCAATTTTCCGCCACATTGGCTCTAGCCAAATTTATGTGTGTCAGCTCGCAGTACTGTGAAACATATTTGCCTCTACTGTTCAATGTGCTTGAGAAATCAAATGACGATACCCTTAGATGCAATATAATAATTGCCCTAGGAGATTTGGTTGTTCTTTTCAACAACATCATTGATCCAGAGATTAATGTTTTATATGAGCTACTTGCGGATGAAAGCCTAGAGATCAAGAGGAACGCGTTGATGGTTCTTACACACCTGATCCTCAATGGTATGATCAAGACTAAAGGACAATTGGGTGAGGTGAGTTGAACGTTTTTTTTTTTTGCATATTATATGCAAGGCATATCCCTTTCTCGATTCATGCATGTATTTTATTTTAAATTCTGAATTGCCGTTATGGTTGTAGATGGCTAAATGCGTGGCGGATGAGAACAGCAGAATTAGTAATCTTGCTGGACAATTTTTCACAGAATTAGCCAAGAAAGAGAATGCAGTATACAACAATTTGCCTGATATTATAAGTAACTTGTCGCGTGGTGAAAATGCAGTGGATGAAGAGTCATTTAAACGAATAATGAAATTCTTGTTTAGATTTATCGAAAAGGTTTGTCCAAATTATTAATATTACAATGTAATTATCATATTGTCTTACGTGGTATTTGTGTAGGATAAACACTCTGAAAACGTCATTGAGAAGCTTTGTCAAAGATTCAAAA